TGGTGTTATTTAACTATATCATGTTATGAATAAACTAAACATTTAGAATTTTTACCTGTACCTGAGTTTATGTGCTGTCCCGCTCATTTGTTCTGAAGTCTCGAGACAAACAGAGTGAGCCTCAGCGCGAGCTTGTATTCTGTATTCTGCTAACTTACTGCGATTCTCTCTGATGATGCAGTAACTTACAAAACATATTTTTGGAAGAAAACATCTTCGGTCTGTCCAATGATTGAAAACAGTCATTATGTCTGTCAGACTGAAGATATTTTAGCGGTAATGAGACCAAAAATATTTAAGACCCATCGAAAACGAATTTAAGACATTTTAAGACTTTTTAAGGCCTTATATTAGGAAAACGTTATTTAAGACTTTTTAAGGACCCGCGGACACCCTGTAAAAAGACAGACAGTATTAAAAACTCAAAGCCGCGAAACAGAACTCAATCCGCTTCTGACTGGATGTTTTCTGTGCGTGAGGTCCGAGTGGAACACGGAGAAGCATAGTAGATTTGTCTTCAGTGGCGCGCCTAAAACGGTAAAAACACGGAGTGTCAAAATGCCTGCACTGGTGTGTATTCACATAAATACGGTCGGCACCGTGCATTATTTTGCGTGCTTGTGCTATCTTTTGTTTCTTTATTTTAATAGCACCTGTTTAAGGCAGAAGTTTTCCTTTGTATGTTTCAGGTAAAAAAGGGGACGGTCCTCGTGATCTCAAAGCCAGTCAGGTTACGCCTCGTGCCGCGGTTTTGTCTTGGAAAGCACCTGTAGCAGCCGTCAACAGTTACAGGCTGAGCTATTACATGGATGGCCAGGACATTCAGGTTAGACTTTGACATCAGCTGAGCGCATGTCTACAGTATATCAGCAGCACAGTGTTATGATAGTTTGTCCTCATGAAACAGCCTCTGTTACCCACCGCTCTCATCACATTGAGCAGTAACTGTGTGAACTGACCGACTGTCATAGTTATAAATATGTGTTTCCTCTACACAGGAAGTGATTCTTGACCACACGGTCAAGGAGTTGAAGTTAAGCAGACTGTTCCCATCGTCGACATACACAGCGCACCTGCAGGCCGAGCGGGACGGTCTGTACATGAGCGCCATCTCTACAGACTTCACCACCGGTACTGATGACCGTCTGTCCTCTGCTGCCTCTGCGTCTTTGTGCAATCATCCAGCAGCTAATCATAACTCTTCCCTAGTGTATTTGTCAGATTAATCTCAAAACACCTGTCAAAAATTATGTCACATTTCACCATAAAATCAAAAAACCAATGAGAGCTATATTTAGCAAGTAAAACAAGGCCCATTTTAGAACCGTTATGTTTTGCTTTCACATTATATTAACTCACAGTTAAACACATTTCACGCATATTCTCCCCAAATTCTCAGTACAGGACACATTTTGAACAATGATATATTTAGATATTTTTGTAGTAGCATTTATATAGTAGTGCTGTCTGTTTAGCATATAATGTGCTTAACTATTTGCAGAAAAAAAGATCCACGTGATTAGTCATAATAAACAAGTTTTTGTCATTTGGCTTAAAGAGATCAATGGTGAAAGAGTCTGAATAGACACTACAATACTTCTAATTCATACGTCATGATAGTGGCCTATCTAGCACTGCCTTTTGTTTTATGCTGATTTAAATGTAAAAACATTGTTTTTTTTTTATCATGTTATTGAGAATTTACTGCAAATTATTATTGTGCATAGTGAGAAGAAATTGTCAGGATGCACTGAAAAAAATAAAATAAATAAATATATATGTGTATATATATATTATATATATATATATATATACACTGTGTACAGTGGTGGCCAAAATTGTTAGATCAGTGCATATTTAAGAGGTTTCAGTTGTTTTTGTTGAATTGGCCATTACAATACCCGTAAAACGAACTATTGCCGGAACTACCTGCAACGGAAGGAATCTGCTGGAACATTGAAAATGATGGACTGGCCCCCTCAAAGTCCGGACCTCAAACCCATCGAGGAATTTTGGGGCGAATTGGAAAATAAACTGGACAGAACTATTGTACATTCAAAGGAAAGCCTTTGGCTTGAGTTGCAGAAGCCATGGGATAACATTAGTGTTGAAGTTCTCAGGAAATATACTGACACTATGCCAGAGAGGTGTGCTGCTGCAGTTGCTGCAAAAGGTGGACATACCAAATATTAAAGTTAAAAGCAGATAAAAAACAGTATGACTCACTTCATCTGATATTTGTTGTGCTCAGAGCTCTGTTAAGTCCCTATGTCATCATGCAGGACCACACTTCTTCTGATGCAAAGGGAGTGCATAATTTTTCTGAAACAGCATAAACATGGGAAAAGCAGTGGACACTGTATTATTACAATCCCACTGTTTTACAGTGAAGACATTTGTGTAACAGGCACCTGTTACACAGTCAAGTGTGAAACAACAGTCAAGAAGGTTTGTGGTGCCCTCTAGAGGATGACATGCTGTCTTCTCCCTGCTTTAGGAAATGAGCAGCTTCATAACTTCACTAAGATGAGTCCAATGACACTGAGAGTCGACCTCAGAGCCGGAGACGAGTCCGTGTACGCACACTATTCCTCGTTCTCCATTGACAATGCAAAAAAACACTACACCATCAGAGTGTCTGGATATTCTGGCACAGCTGGTGAGTCTATCATGAACTCCATGCGATGACAGCCATTATGTGCATGTAGGCAGGATGAGGTTGTACACCTGTAAAACTCTGCATGTATGCATGTACAGGTGACTCACTGACGTACCATAACGGACGGCCGTTCTCCACGCGGGACAGAGACCCTCAGCCGTTCATCACGCGCTGTGCCATGTCCTACAGAGGTGGTTGGTGGTATAAGAACTGCCACGAGGCCAATCTCAACGGCCTCTATAACACAAACACCAACCACCAGGTAAAGCAGCTGACTTCACCCAATACATACAGCCATATATACACACATACACACATGTAGATATATATCTTCAAGTATCAAGTCCATTGGTCTGCACCAGTTGTAAGGTCTGTGTTTGGTTTCTCTCAGGGAGTGATCTGGACCAAGTGGAAAGGCAAGGATTTCTCCATTCCCTTCAGTGAGATGAAATTCCGCCCAGCCTCATTCAGGCCCTGAACATGAGGAGAAACGCATTATTGCAGGAGAGCTGGGACGCCCTCCCGTTATGGACATAAACCTAAACACACCATCATTGAAAAGCAAGTATCATTACTGCACGTATAACTACACTATCAAACTACATAATTACATCTACACACATACTCCAATTGTAATATATCAAGGCCAAAAAGGCTGTTTATCTGTAGTCTATATGTAGGATTGTACAGTGTTTGGATTCTCTGTGCTCTGTGCATTGGGACGCCCCACAGCAGCTGGAAGAAATATTATGCACTGCCTTCTTCTCTACGATGAAGCTGTGGACTAGGTGTCACGCATATCAGCTTGAACTACCAAGAGTCTGATGTTTGTATTCATATTGCTTTGTATGTACCATATTTCAGTGTCTTACAGAAAGATTTCATAAAATAAAAAAGCTGTAAGTTGGTATATGTTAGTGTTTTTAACATTCTATGGTTCTATAAAAAAAAATATATATTTGATATAAAAAAACATGTTAACGATCATTTTGGGCAAGTTTTTTTTTTTCTCGCATACCAAACTATCTAGCTTTGTAGGTGTAATTGACAGAAAAACACAGAATTGTTGACATTTTTGCAGATTTATTAAAAAGGAAAAACTGAAATATCACATTTACATAAGTATTCAAGTACTCAGTACTTAGTTGAAGCACCTTTGGCAGCAATTACAGCCTCGAGTCTTTTTGGGTATACAACAAGCTTTGCACACCTGGACTGGGGGATTTTCTGCCATTCTTCTTTGCAAATCCTCTCAAGCTCGGGCAGGTTGGATGGGGAGCGTCGGTGGACAGCCATTTTCAGGTCTCTCCAGAGATGTTCGATAGGGTTCAAGTCAGGGTTCTGGCTGGGCCACTCCAGGACATTCACAGAGTTGTCCCTAAGCCACTCCTGTGTTGCCTTGGCTGTGTGCTTAGGGTCATTGTCATGTTGGAAGGTGAACCTACGGCCCAATCTGAGGTCCTGAGCTCTGTGGAACAGGTTTTCATTGAGGATATCTCTGTACTTTGCTCCATTCAGCTTTTCCTCAACCCTGACCAGTCTCCCAAGTCCTTGCCGCTGAAAAACAGCCCCACAGCATGAGGCTGCTACGAGCACACTTTACTTTTGGGACGGTACTCTGCAGGTGATGAGCAGAGCTGGTTTCTTTCAAACATGATGCTTAGAATTGAGGACCATCAGACCAGAGAATCTTGTTTCTCAGAGTCTGAGGGTCCTTTAGGTGCGGTTTTGAAAATTCCAATTGTGTTTTCATATGTCTTCACTGAGGAGAGGATTGAGTTTGGCCATACCGCCATAAAGCCCAGATTGGTGGAGTGTTGCAGTGATGTTTGTCCTTCTGTAGGTTTTTCCCATTGGCATATATGATCATGGAGCTCAACTAGAGTGACCATCAGGTTCTTGGTCACTAGTCTAGACAAGGCCCTTCTCCATCAATTGCTCAGTTTGGTTGGGCGACCAGCTCTTGGAAGAGTCCTGGTTGTGCCAAACTTCTTCCATTTGAGAAATATGGAAGCCTGGTTTTCGCTCTGATATGCATTATCAGCTGTGAGGCCTTTTATAGAGAGGTGTGTGCCTTTCCAAATAATGTCCAATCAATTTAATTTACCACAGGTGGACTCCAGTCAAGGTGTAGAAACATCTCAGCAATGATCAAGAGAAATGGGGGAGGCACCTGAGCTAAATTTCAAGTGTTGTTGCAAAGGGTCGGAACAGGGGCGTCGCTATGGTTTCCAGGCCCTGCCGCAATCATGTAAAAAACACATCCGGGGCCCCCTCTCCCTCACCGGGCCCTTGAAATCGTTCTAACCTTCCCCCCTGTTACGGCGCCCCTGAGTCTGAATACGTATGTAAATGTGATATTTCAGTTTTTTTCTTTTTAATACGTTTACATAAAATTATTTTTAATTAAATTAAATTAAATAATATTCTGTTTTCACTTTGTCATTATGAGGTATGGAGTGTAGATTAAGGAGAGAAAAAAAGGAATTTAAACAATTGTAGTATCAGGCTGCAAAATACCAAAATTGAAAAAAAGTGAAGGGGGTCTGAGTACTTTCTGAATGCACTGTATTTTATATATATTAGTCCATTGTATGCACCAGTTGTAAGGTCTGTGTCTGGTTTCTCTCAGGGAGTGATCTGGACCGAGTGGAAAGGCAAAGATTTCTCCATTCCCTTCACTGAGATGAAATTCCGCCCAGCCTCATTCAGGCCCTGAACAAGAGGATAAACGCATTAGTGCAGGAGAGCCGGGATGCCCTCCCATTATGGACAAAAACATAAACACACCTTCATTGAAAAACAAGTATCATTACTGCATGTATAACCACACAATTAGGCTACATAACCACATCTACACACGTACTCCAATTGAAATGTCAAGGCCAAAAAGGCTGTTTATCTGTAGTCTATATGTAGTATTGTACAGTGTTTGGATTCTCTGTGGTCTGTGCATTGTGACGCCCCACAGCAGCTGGAGGAAATATTATGCACTGCCTTCTTCTCTACGATGAAGCTGTGGACTAGGTGTCACATATATCAGCTTGAACTATCAAGAATCTGATGTTTGTATTCATATTGCTTTGTATGTACCTTATTTCAGTGTCTTACAGAGAGATTTCATAAAATAAAAAAGCTGTAAGTTGGTATATGTTAGTGTTTTAACATTCTATGGCTCTATAAAAATATATATTTGATATAAAAAAAACATGCCAACATGATCATTTTGCGCAATTATTATTATTTTTTTTTCAGTGATTCTCACCTACCAGCTTTGTAGGCAATAAAAGAAAATCATATTGCAAAGCAAAAAGTGTTGCAAAAATGCTCAGACACACAATCTGTCATGAACTGCTCCAAGACAATTAGGCTGAGAATCCAAATGTAGTGTTTATTCAGAGGGTAATCCACAATCACAGTCCACACACAGACAAAAGTCATATACCAGCAAAGCAGTCCAAACAATAACAAGAAACACATACAAAGAGTAATCCAGAACGATGGGCAGAATAAAGCAAGACACAGGAAACCAGGAAATAACAGCTTAGAAATGCAGTACTTAACGCATGCAAGACTTCACAATGAATGACTGAATGAACCAGGCTATAAAGAGTGAGCAAACAGGGTTAATGTGATTCAGGAGAAAACAATTCAGGCATGATGAGTTTGGGTAATGGGAAATGGAGTCTGAGAAGCAATAGGCAGTATGGTGATAGAACCCTCTGATAGCGAGTGGGAGGAACAACAAGGACTGGATTCGTGACAGAATCCCCCTTGAAGGAGCGGCTTCCAGATGCTGCAAAATCAAAACAACAGTCCAGGAGGGTGGTGGACAGGAGGACCAGGTCCATGTGCTAGGGGAGGACCTGGGGACTGAGGCAGAGTCGGCGGAGCAGGGGGAGCAGGGAAACCAGGGCAGAGTTGGCAGAGCAGGAGACCACCAGAGTGGAGCAGGAAGAGCTGAAGACCACCAGGGTGGAGCAGAAGACAACCAGGGCAGAATGGGCGGAGCTGAGGACCACCATGGCGGAGAGGGTGGAGCAGGAAGCCACAGCAGAGTTGGAGACCCCAGGGGAGCTAAAATATAGAGCACAGTTTATTTACTGCCCCAAGGGCCAAGGCAGGGAACTCAGTTAAGTTCAGGGTCAACTTCTTGGACAGGAAGCATAGAAAGTTCACGAACTGCCTTCCTGGCCATGGCAAGACAGGTAGAGTGTTCACGAATGGCCTCCTTGGCCATGGCAGTGTAGACAGACAATTCAAAGATGGCCTGCATGGTTGAGACAGGACAGGCAGAGAGTTCATGGGACGGCTTCCTTGGCCGTGACAGGACAGAAAAAGGGTCCAGAGACGGCCTCCATGGCTGTGACAGGACGGACAAAGGGTCCAGAGACGGCCTCCATGGCTGTGACAGGGCAGACTGTGAGTTCAAAGGTGGGTGCTACCACCTTGAGAGGAGCTGGAGCAGACACCGCTGCCTCGGGAGGAGCTGGAGAACAATACGTGGCCCAAACACACCAGAATGCAAGCCCCAAAATGGGAAGTGTAACCACCAGGGATATGACTTCGGGAGCCGCGGAGCTTGAGAGCGCTGAGGCCACTGGGATGCCTGCCACTCATACCGACATCAGCAGTGGGTCTGCCACACTGGACACCAGTCTCGACTGCCTGGGCAATGCCTCAATCACTTCAAGTGCAACGTTCGTGAATGTTCTGAAGACTCTGGACTGGCGGCCATCTTGTGAAGAGACTCTGGAGTGGCGGATATGACAGGTAGAGGATCTGGGATGGCAGCCATGAAAGAATGAGGCTCTGGGATGGCAGCCATGACTGGACAAGGCTCTGGAATGGCAGCCATGAAGGATTGAGGCTCTGGGATGGCAGCTATGTTGTGAACAGGGACTGGAGTGGGAACCACAGGACAGGAAGGTGCTGAAAGCACAGGACTATTGACCATTATGGCAGAACGTGCTGGAAACCATGATGGGCCTGCTTCCCTTCAAAAAATTGTTTAGGGGAGGTGTCCTCCTCAACCTCCTTAACAGTGAAGGGGAAGCCAGTTAGGAGCAAGGCATAATCAATCAATTCCACAAGCAACCTTCTAGGACAATAGCTTGGAGTTGTTCATGGAGTACATAATAAAAAATCAAACAGTGCAAAATATGGGAAATCAGTAAGATATGCAATGCCTAAAAAGTCTCTGGTGTGGTCCTCGAGGGAGCGAGGAAAACACGGAGAGACTCATAATGAGACTTAGGTGGAAACAATCAGGCATGATGAGTCTGGGCAATGGGTAACAGGAAATGCAGTCCGGGAAGCAGTAGTCAGTATGGCGATAGAGCCCTCTGATGGCGAGCGGGAGGAACAATAAGGACCGGACTCGTGACACAATCAGATAATTTTGTACTCTGTTGTTACATATTAATGAGGCAGATACAGACAAGTGCCATTTGCACGCTTTACTTGAACATTGTCAAATGGACAGCACACCTGACTCCATCTCACCTGCTACAATTGCTTAAAGGGATAGTTCCCCCAAAAATGAAAATTCTGTCATTAATTACTCACCCTCATGTCGTTCCAAACCCGTAAGACCTTCGTTCATCTTCGGAACACAAATTAAGATGTTTTTGATGGAATCTGAGAGCTCTCTGACCCTCCATAGACAGCAAGGATATTACCACGATCAACGCACAGAAACGTAGCAAGGACATTGGTAAAATAGTCCATGTGACATCAGGGGTTCAACCGTAATTTTACAAAGCTATGAGAATACTTTTTGTGCGCAAAGAAAACAATGATAACAATTTATTCAGCAATTCTTCTCCCCGAGTTACTGTCTTCCGCCATTTTGGAGAGTACCCCAAAACGTAATCAATGTAATGAGCGTTGTTAACGTTCAGCATGCACACGCTGTCTACTGAACGTAAACAATGCTGATCAGATTCCATCAAAAATATCTTAATTTGGGTTCCGAAGATGAACGAAGGTCTTACGGATTTGGAACGACATGAGGGGAATTAATGACATAATTTTCATTTTTGGGTGAACTATCCCTTTAAATAAGGTCACCTATATACAGAAGCCCAGAGGTACCAAATACAATGTAGACGTTCATCAATGACACCACATTTTCCCCATACATCACATTACCTCCCCCATTTAGATTAAACACCACATTACATCAATATTAAAAAAAATCATCTATAAATGTTTCAGTTTTTAAAATGCTGTGGTAATTTAATGGTCCGTTTTGGGCACCTCAAGTCCACTGGACGTGCGGCACGGGTCTCAAGTGGCACCACAGGCTCACATAATGTATACATTTGTAAATCAGCTGGCATCAGATCTTCATCACTAGTCTCAGCAATCAGAATGGTCCCTTTTTCACACTGCTGCTGTGGAATATCTGAAGAGGCAGGTTCTGAAAAGGCAGGTCTATGACATCCTTGATCACCTGGAGCATCTAAAGAGAAGTATTGTGATTTTAATTGCTCACTATGCTGTCTGAACACAGTGTATTATGCTTGGTCCTTTACCTCATATGATCCCAGGCCTGTCTGTTGCATTACTACTACTGGCAGCCACTTTGGATCTCCTCTTCCAGTCCTACTCAGGAACACTGGTTCATCCACTTTGAATGATCTCCCTGTTGCTCAGTGATCATGCAGGTATTTTTGCAGATACTGCTTCCTGCGAACAGTCTCTTGATTATTAGGTTTAAGGAAGTCCAGTCTGTTATGAATATGCCTCTTCAGCAGGTGACTGGCCTGTGGTGCTGTTAGGTGTTATACGATAGTGCAGCAATAAAAAGAAGAAATTTTATCATCAAAAGACATATTTCATTAACCAGATTTCATGCCGATTTTAAACATCTGGACATACCTCTCGGCCAATCAATTTGTTGCTGGATGTCTTCAACCTGGTAATTGTTGCTTGAGTAGTAATTTGCGACATACAAAAGACTTCTAGCTATTTTGAATGGGCATCCATCAAAATATCATAAACAAATTATTAAGAAATGGCCCTGAAAAATCTATACGCAACCTCTTCAGACACTCACATCCAAGTCAATCTTTGGCCACCTCACATATTTGTGAGCTAAGGCTTTCATTTTAACAATACCAAGATGACCAACTTGAATGGAACAATCACTCTTGTGCCCCATAGCACACATTCTTGCTCTGATTCATCTCTCTTCATAAAATACACCTTCAAATCATCTAGCACCTCAATCAGCCACCCCTCCATGATATATAGCGTAAACTTCTATAGAGCTCACAATCCATTCTTGTCACTCTGGCCATCTGTCTTGCATTGAGAGGGGCTTCTTTGAAGTGGTCAGACAAAAGAGTGTGAATTTGAGATAATACTGCTTCAGTTTCAGCATCTTTGATCTCAGACAAAGGCATACGTGCTAAAGCATGCACATTTCCAATCTGTAGAATGGGGCCAACACAGTGATTTGGTGAGGAATAATAGCGACCATAATAGTTAACTAAGCCAAGGAACGCTCCAAGCTCTTTCACATTTGAAGGTGGCGGTGCCTCTTGAATGGTTCTAACTTTGTCCTTCGTGGGATACACTCCCTTTCCGTCTATCACATGACCCAGGTACTAAATTCCTGTTTGCCCCTATTCACACTTTGACTTATTCACTCTTACCCCACTTTCTTGGAGGTGCTGCAAAACCTTGGAAATATTTGCCAGATGTCCCTGCTCATCTCTGCCCATTATAAGCAGATCATCCAAATATACAATCACCTTCAGATCACTCATTAAATTTTCCATGATCTGCTGGAAATGGATGGGGCTTAACTAATTCCAAAAGCTAAACATTTGTACACATATAAGCCCTTACACATGTTGATAGTTATACATTTCTTTGAATATTCATCCAATAAGACCTGTTGATAGGCTGAGGTGAGATCGATCAAGATTGAACATAGCCTTCCTCCAATAAGAGTGCCTAGCACTCAATACATGGCAAAGAGTATGTTTCAGTATTAGCGGCTTGATTGGTAGTTACCTTGTAATCCCCACACATAATCAGAACTGGAACTGACCATCCACATGAGGCCTCAAAGGCAACATGGATGACCATAAATCAGATATCCTGCCACCAGCAATTTTGAAGCAAGTCTAACTAAATAACTAACTCTTCCACAGCTTTAGTATGAGATGCTCTGAACTAGGAAAGCCCCTCCAACATTGTTAACTTTAAACAAGATTAATGGTCGAAAAGATAACACATCATGACTATCACAAGTGAAATCATGAGTTAACACTATAAGGGGAGTTTGATTCTTTTCCTAGTACACAGTGCCCAGACTGAGACTCCCTCCGAGACCATGTCTCAGGACCTACTCATTGTCGAAATCATACTCTAGATTTAATATGTTTCTCACAGAAACCAAATTCCACACCACACTGAATAGCACAGCGACTGGCTTTACATATCAAAAATGCATCAGATCATCCCAAAATGATGCCAAGAGGACAAACATCATTCCATTGCATAACTCTTCTTTCTTTTCTTTTCCGTTGAGAGGCTTTTCTAAGTTAAGTTTTGCCGAATAGTCATGTCTCCGACTTTGTCTTTGCCTCCCTCAACCTTCAACCAGCCGACAAGAATCCACACCCATCCTTCAGCCAAAGCCCATCATGGTTGGTTTCCGAAGACAACAAACCTGGGAAACTCCTTTTCACCTGATGATGCCGCCAAAAGGAATCCCCAACACATGTAATATCTCTAGACTCTCCAGACTCTAGCTGAACTGGTGCATTTTATATAAAGTTTAATAGCCTTATTTAAAACTCAATTTGAGGGTTAAATTAAATGATTGATGGTTCATTCAGGTCTAAGAAATTGCATATATTGCTAGAAACTTAAGATTTCATATTCGATGTTATCACTCTCTTAAAAGTAATTATTTTCTCATGTTCTTTCTGCAACTTGTGTGAATGTGTGCGTTTGTGTTAGATTAGTTCACGTCTTAGGTTTTTATCAATAAAGTCTTGTTTGTTTTTAAAGAGAACTATCTTGTGTTTTGTGCACCTGGAAACCTGGCACCTGGTGTTTTGTCACCTGGAAAGGTGGTGCTTCACACATCACAAAGTAGTAGGAGCCCAAGAAATGAAGAGCTAGTCACTCTTCCTGAAAGAGCTGGTCCTGTCAATGTAAACCTGCAGGGTATGGACAGAACATACATACATCAGATCCACTGAGATAATTTAGTGCACGAGGAATGAACAGAGACTGCACGCAAATCACTGACCTGTTTGGCTGAAGCCAGGAGCATAGATGTCTTAAAGGACAGAAGCTTGAGAGAGATATATCCCAGGTGCTCAAAAGGCTGTTGAGACAAGGCCTCCAGCACCATGGAGAGTTCCCATCCTGGAACAGCTCTTCTAGCGACTGGAAGGGAATGGTCTTCATAAACCTATAAACAAGGGGGTGTTGCCCCACCGTAGTGCCATCAAACCTATTATCAAATGCAGCGACAGCCCATAGCCGCTAATTAGACCTTAGTAGTTCACCCAAAAACGAAAATTCTGTTATCATTTATTCAGCCTCATGTCGTTCCAAACCTGTATGAGTTTCTTTCTTACGTTGAACATAAAAGAAGATGTTTTGAAAAACCAGACAGTTGTTGGTTCCCATTGACTTCCATAGTAGGGAAAGAAATACTATGGAAGCCAATGGGAACCAACAACTGTTTGATTACCAGCATTCTTCAGAATACCTTCTTTTATGTTTAACATAAGACAGAAACTCATACAGTGTGGGCCGACCTGAATCGAAAACAGTTGGAAATTACCAAAGGTTGCACAGAATATTTACAATCTTTCGTTTCATCTTTAGGCTTATCAAATTCTGCAACAATCCATATGTTGCTGCTCCCGTCTCACTAAGAAAAGTTGTCACTTGTTTTGTATCGTCCACGTCATTGGCCATGATGTACAACTCCACTTGCTCAGTATACACTGACCATGATTCATTTTCAGTCTTATACTCATCCAATCTTCCAGTCTGCATTAAACTTTTTATTAGACTGCACACAGCAAGAGTGGCCACAGCCTGGGCTTGAACCCAATCAAATATTTCTGGAGAAACCTGAACATGTGCATCTGCTCCCATCCAACCTGACAGAGCTTGAGAGGTGAAGAGGAGAAGAATGACAGATAATTGCCAAATGATGATGATCAAAGCTTGTCGCATCATACCCAAACATATGAGGCTGTAATTGGTGCCAAAGGTGCTTCAACAATGTATTGAGCAAAGGCTGTGAATACTTATGTACATGTGAATTTTTTTATTTTTAATAAATTTGCAAAGATTTCAAACAAACTTCATTCACGTTGTCATTATGGGGTATTGTTTGTAGAATTTTGAGGAAAATAATGAATTTAAGCAATATTGGAATAAGGCTGTAATATAAAATGTGGAAAAAGTCAAGTGCTGTGCATACTTTCCGGATGCACTGTATATATCAAATAACAGAAAATGTGAATGGATTCAGTAAGCTTTCTCTTGGCAAGCTCTGATTTCTGAGACGGTTATGCCACTCATTTCCCTCATAGAGTTATTCACTTAACACTCATTATTGTGTTGCAGTTTTACAGGTGATTGCATAACGTCCTGCTATCCTCTAGTTCACCTGTTATCAGCAAACCAGACTGTGTCTGCTGAATGGGTCTTATATTATTCGGTAGAATTCATTATTCTTTTTAAGGTCATTTTCCATGCTTTTTCAGTTCATCAAGGTTTTCAGTTTCAGACACATCTATACTTCTGAATGTTTATCCTTCTTTAACATCTTAGTGAGCTCTTCTCGCCACTGTTGCTAACTGCAGCATTTATATGGCCGCTCTTGGTAAAGCTGCTCTGGAAGAATATATGTGAAGTTTTGTTCCATTAAACTGAATAAAAATCAAAGTAATTTTAAGAGCTGTATTGCAGGTCTGAAGACAAGGACAAGCGTCAAAGACAGACTGTATTAGGATGAGCAAACTGTAAATAATGCACACTTGTACAACAGCATAATGGTTCTCACAGTCATGTGGCAAAGGTTTATTGAGCTGAACTCCGAGGAGCTGACAGAGGTACAACATGTATTCAGTCTGAGCCGTTTGCTTTGTGGAACGCGGTGCTTCATCTCTAGAAGTCAGAGTAATGCAGAAGCCTAGAGACAAACAACAATACACATGCTTATACAACACCTGGATAACACTAGCATAGCAAACCCATCAGTGTAAAAGAGGTGTAACAATTCACTTGTTTTCTAGATCTATTCATTTAAAGTCATTCATTCAAGAAACAGTGTCTGGTATCCTGGAGAGCAGTGGTTAATGCCCGATGTGAACTGACTCAGCAATGGATTTCTAAAGCGGTCTTCCCATCTCTGCTCACCTGAGGAGCCCAAACACAGCTTGTTCTGCACCTGTGTGTTCATGTAGGGCAGCGGTTCCCAAACTGGGGCGCGCACCTAGGGGTGCACAGACCGACCAGCAGGGGTGCGCGAGAGAATGCTTTTGATGATCTGTGTGCATTTTTTGAAGGGGCAAGTGAAAGATAATTTTACTTGCCTGACCAGACAACTAATCTAATCTAATTAAAACATCAAATTAGGGAAGCACCAAAATTTTGGCGAGAATGATTCTGATTTTATTACACTTGGTGTAAACGGCAATTCATAATAGATAATCAATAGTAACAAGGTCGCGGCAGTCGAGACTCACATGAGACAATCTCATGGAGAAATCGAAACAAATGAACACAACTGCACACAGAAGAAACATACTGCGGTAAAACATTTAGTTTTTATATTTATTACATAAAGCCTAGCCTAATTAATTAACATGACACGACTAAGAGAGTGCAGTAAAATCAGTAAGATTGTAAATTCGACATTGATTTTAAACAAGACTTCAAACGAGTAGTTAATATGAAGTGACTTAGGGCATACATTTTAGTACAATAATGTCAATGTGACCGTTTTTGCTCGATTTGTTTAACGAAATAGTTCCAAACAAACTTAGCAGCAGAACTGTCGCGCATCTCTGAGCAACACACAGCGTCAGCGGTGTTTCGTTAGGCTACTGAATGATTCGCATTTTTGAATTAATAATTTGAGTCAATGATTCAGTGGTCCATTCATAAAGACAGGCGCTTGCTTCATTCTTGAACTCAAACACTAGAAAGGGGTGCACGCTGCAAAAAGTTTGGGATCCACTGATGTAGGGTATGCTTTTCCTTTCCAGTTACATTTAGTGCACTGGACAATCTAAAATAGTTTGTCTTTTTCTTTCCTAAAATGTATGAACCTAATTACATTACATTTAAAGAGACCTATAAACGCATTTTAAAATACACAGAATAAACGTTTATTAAATGTTCTTAATCTGGAAAAGTAGTGTCTAAATGCTAAACCTGTGAAACAAATTAACATTGCACATGCAGCAAAAACAAAAGGAAACGAATGTAACTGGCATGACAGCAACATATCGGTGTTGTTTGTTCTCACCTGAAGAGCAGCGCATGGCCTTTATTATTGGCCACAGAGTAGAATCCGCTCCGCGGGGAGAAATCCAGACAACGGGTTTGAAATATAGTCTTCTTTTGGAATTGTGGAAAATTGGAGAACACCGTAAAACTTGGAAGATGGACCTTAAAAGGAAAAAAATAAAAAAAGTTATCCAAATTATTCAGCAACTAAAAATCCCAACAAATTACCAACTACCCCATTATTGTGTATAACTAAAAACAAGCCAGATTACACCAATAACTGCATCTGAAATCCAATTCTGCAGCTTATGAACACAGAAAATATGCACTTTTTCAGTCATCTACAATTCATTACAATATGAAGTTTGTCTATTTATACACACACATATATATATATATATATATATATATATATATATATACACACACACACACACACTGCTGAGCAATTTATTAGGAGCAGCTGTACGGATACTTGTGCAATTATCAGATCTGCCAATCATGCTTCAGCAGTGCAATACTTGATTATACAGACATGGGTCTGGAGCTTCAGTTCATGTGATGTCAGTAATGTTGAGCGTTGCTCATAATTTGCACAAACAGCATGAATCAGATATTTCTTCACGGACTTTATCCTGCTTGTTCTGAATCAGTCGCTAGTAATTCTTGACTACTTGAGTAAGAGTAAAGAAGAGTCCAATGAAAAGTGACTCAGGTCATTATTAACACCGTTACCTCAACTTCAGTAATTACTACAGTAAATATTTGCACTTTCACCCGAGTAGGCTACAGGTTTTGGTGACTTAGTAAATGCTGATGTTCAATGCAGGATGGGACACTGATATCAGCTTCTGCGTTCAGTAAGTGACAGACAAACGGCGTTCTGACGTTACTCACCCACAGGCCAGATACAGGCCATCCCTGGACAGAGCCAGAGAAGTCCCTCTGACACAGCCGTCATCTGGAAACTTCTTCAGACACTTACTGCTCTGCACGTCCCAGATGAACACCTCTCCTTCCTCTGTGACACACACACAGGCATCAGTGTTTATCACACAGTGTGGACGGCAGTGGGGAATCAGAGGGTCCGGTCCCAGTCTGTCCAAACATGAAATGTCTTTGTGTGACCGCAGACCAACTGTCCTAAGAGACTGAGACTGCTCTTGCTATTTCTGGGGTGAAGTAAATGACTGACGCATCGGTTTTGCCAATTAATCGGCACCGATAGTTGATTGGCGGAACTATTGGTTATCAGCAAAAATCCATGCCGATAGTTTTTCCGGGTTGGGACCGTTGCTGGAGAAGCTGAGAAGGTCCTCATTATACAGCAAACTCCCTACAGTCTTTGTTATACAGCACAAGAGCGGCCTCTAGAGACTGAGATCACTGACATCGTGTGCAGTTTAGTCACGTGATTCTGTGCGCTGAACAGGGCGGGACACTTCAGATGTGCATTTAATACATCGACAACGAACTATAGTGCTATAGTATACTATAGTGCATGTTTTCATATCATTACTTGGTAATTCATTTGTTGACTAGACGCTGCATTTGTGGAGAAAGGACAGCAGAAAGTTTGCTATCAAGACTGAGAGGACGTGCACATTAGCAGCACCTCAAGCGGTTAAAACAATGTGACCAAAACACACGCAAGTCCGTCTTAAATGTTTAATGTCACCATTGTTGCCATCTATTTGCATTTGTTTATATCCATCTGGTCACATTAATGCATTTGTTAGCCAATGAAGTTGTAGATTCAAACCTAGTGACAT